CAAGGCAATGATGTCAGTGGTGTGAGTGTTTGTGTGTGTGTCTGTGTGCGTGCGTGTGTGTGAGAGATGCCTCCATTCCGCTTGTTTACTATCATACTATGCTTCCAACATGGCGGCGCATCCGAGCACTTGGTAAAAACGGGATGTGACTGCAAGGGGTCTATAAAATTAGTCCAAGACGCGGCTGATGACATCATCCCAAATTAGACCAATAAATTGCGCCCTAAAAAATTTTACATTCTGATGTTATTTTAAATCAGAAAATAACAATCCTAAAATAACATCAGAATATAACAATTTTTATGGCACAATTTATTGGTCTAATCACAAATGTGCATTTTTTATAATGACTCATTTGTTGACACCAGACAACACAGTTACACACGGTGACGTTACCAAAGCGGCATTGCCAGTTTAGGAAATACCGTATCCATACTCATAGTCATAGTCATAACCCGACCAGGCTGTGTGACTAACGTCTATACACCGGTACATCGGTATTCTAACCCTAGCAATACCGTTTCCTGGAGCTAGCATAGTCATAGTCATAGTCATAGTCATACTCATACTCATAGTGACAGTCATAGACTAACTAAGAGTAAGAGAGTAAGAACAAGTCACTTGAAAAATAACAAATACTGAACCGAAATGGCCTTAATAATAATAGCAAATAGTAATACTAATAGTAATACTGAAATAGTAATAGTAATAGGCCTACTTCAAGTTCAAGTACTTGACTATACAAATTCAAAATTAGAATAGTAATTGCGCTGTTTTGTCAAGAACGAACACGGAAACATGGCCTAGCAATCGCTAATTCATTTACACTAATTTTACTTTTCGATACTAATGACGTTTACACACCCACGAAAACAAATGTGTCACTTTAGACATTATTTAATTATTCAATGGGCGCAGACATTGCAATCCCGTCATGCAACTGAAAGCAGGTGTTTGGTCACGTGAGCAATTTGCAAGCTCCGGATTTGACCGTTTTCTTTGTCTGGACGGCTGGTGGTTTTACTATCGTCACTCACCATTTTGGTGCTATGTTTCTCTAGAATTCTACTAGGTAATCCCTTACAATCACTGAGTTAGTTTTACGAAAATTCCTTTATAGTATTTGCGAGGTAATCTTCCAGAACTTAGATGTCATTAATAGCGGTATTAGTGTCAGATGTAAATTGAGGTAATTTCACAAGTGGAGGGTGGATGACACCAGGTCAGATCAGCACCAATGAAGAAGGGTCTCGCATTTTTGATGGTTGGTGATTCGTTGTCCATCGGCCCAGGATTTCCATAACCAATCAAGACCAAAGTGGCGAGAATCTGCCCAATGTGAGTATAGGTGCTCGCCAGCCGAGTCTCTTCGTGGGACACTGATTGGGTTTTTGTGGCACCAACCAAATATCTCGGCCTTAGCTTATGTGCTCAAATACGGTACCACGACAACAGTAAATGCGTCCTGTAAAGTAACAGCGATTGACATTGTCAGTGTTAAAAACTCTTCCCTTTGTAACGAAACGTAAAATGGCGCTTGTCTGCTACTGGCTCTGGTTAGCCAGCGGCAGCGCAGATACAGCCGCTCTTTCCAATCAATTACCAAAAAATTCATGCGAACCAGATGGATTATCAATGACAATGCCAATGGCAATGCCTCCTACGGTTACGCTGCGAGCACCCAAAGCGATACTCCAGTCACATCGACATTAGTATTGACTGTTGACTAGAAGCAGAAAATTGAGAAGTCCTAAGCCTGTGGCTGTAGTAATACTAGTATAGGCCATAACTATCTTGACAATCGTACCTACCAGTACAGTACGTAGTAGTACTACTACTAGTACTACTACTACTACTAGTACCAATTTATTCAGCAGTGAGGCCTGAGGGCATGATGATGATGTGTGAAGAAGGTACCAATATGCCGCTTACTATAATATATATATCCATTTCAAATCTGTTTATAATCCAGGCCCGTAGGGAAGGGGGGTGCGACCCACGCCCCCCACGCACAAAAATTTGAGAAATTTCCACGTTTTGAGGTTTGCTTTTGGCTGCCTGTTTTCATACTGCCTTCAAAATGCGCAAAATGCAGTCTCATGCAGACAACCTAATTTTCAAAATTTCCTTTGGGGGCATATATTCCCCCAGACCTCCCTAGAGACTGGCGCCTCCAGCGCTCGTTAGGTCCGTATACTCGTTGGATCGCACCCTCCCGTAAAAAAACCTGCCTACGGGTCTGTAATCCAACAGGTCTGTTCTCCATCTAAGGCTAAGTAATGGACCTTTGTTGCTCTTTGTACAAGAACTGGGGATTTAACAGGAGTAGTTTTGGTTACTATTACTAGGTGTTTTGATAGTCCCTATATAGTACTGGGGAAACATTGACCATCTCAACACAAATGTAAAACACAAAAACCAGCTGCTGGTCTAGTAAGTTTTTCTAAATAAATGTGTCGGATATTTGTCATTATCAGAAAAAGTTTGTATGCAAGTGAAAGTAAGTTTCAGCCTAGCATTTACTTAATTAACATTTCAGCTGACTACAGACACATTCCCATCAAGTGACCAGCAAATGACAACCTTTGAGATGCAGAGCAGTGTTCAGACTGGTCAGTCCATGGCAGCACCTGCCACAGTGACTGCTGGTCAAACACAGGTACCAATCATTTATTGTAACCACAAGCAGAATGTGATAAATAGCCGGTACCCACGTGTATCATGAGCTTCTGATAATGGTATTGTGTCCCACGGCATGTATCCTCTAAAATTGTGCAGAATAAAGTGTATAATATGTATAATAACTTCTTACAATTAAATTTAAATGAATATACATTATATAACTGTCTTATTGTCTACATTCTAAAATCTAAATGGACCCATCCATCAAGTATACTTACTCGTTTCTGGGTGTGTATAAGTGTTTCTGTGTATGGCCACTGGAAACCTTATGCTCATATGCATACTCCAGTTTATCACAAATTTTTTTCTACATTACAAAGTGCATATAAATGTAGTTATTAATATTTTTGCAGTACATAATCAGTGGTTCAGGGAATCAGCAGCTGCTAGGTGGTCAGCAGATTTCACTGCAGGGCCTGTCGCAGGGTCAGATTATCCAACTGCCCAATGGACAGCAAGTAAGACAATACTCACTACAGGATAGTACTGGATTCTTAAGAGAATATAGTTTCATTCTTCGCACTCCTCGTGGCATAAGAAATTATAGTACATATATTGCAAAAATAACACAATGCATATGAATAATAAAGTCTTTTGCAAAAATGTTTTAAAAATATTAGAACACAACTAATAAAACATATTTATATGTCTGTCGTAAAGCGTTATTATTTTCATCTTTATAGATTCAGTTGATACATAGTGGACAGCAACTATTGCAAGGTCAACAAGGACAACCACAGCAGGTACGGTGGCACATTGCACCAATCGTATTCAGAAGTAAATTTTTGCACTACTGGAACTAGTGTGTGCGCTCTTTTGCAATGTATGCACTTGTTAAGTAGGTTCATGTAGCATTAGCACTCATTTGTAGTAGGTTTTTGCTACATAGGTACTAGTGTGTATAAGGTTCTTGCAGTACGGGCACTATAGAGTACCGAAGTGTGACGTCACGTTGGCAAGACAACGTACGGGCTGGTTCTACACAAGCCACTGGCTCCATAGTGTAGCCATAGGGGCAACTGTTGTGCGTACGTAAAACACGAGTGTGTGCGCTGCAGACAGCGGTAAAGCATCGGTAGCAAGTCGTTCTTACAATATTTAATGAATTAAAAAAAAATAATGTGGGAAAAATTATTTTTTTTTTTAAACATTTTTTTTTGGTTTAATTTTTTTTTTTCCCCGTGGCTTTTCACTTCCATCCTTTGGAAATCTATAAAAACTGCAATAATGACTCTCAGAATGCTGGTTACAATCGGGTACAAAACACGACACGCAGTTAATGTTACCAGAGCATATGATTGTGTAGAACCAGTGGGCTCGTTGCCATGCCACCGTGACGTCATCACTTCGGTACTCTATTGCATTATAAGTTTTTGCAGTACAGCCACTAATGCACAGTTAGCTTTCGTAGCATGGCCACTAGTGCACACTACGTTTTTGCTGCACATACACCAGTGCATAGTAGGTTTGCAACTAGGTATCAGTAGGTGTAGTATAGCTACTAGTGCACTGAAGTTTTGCAGCATTTTGTGTGTTTTTGCAGCATTTCGTGTAAATTCCAAAGAAACTCGGGGGTGACATTTAATGTGACAAGTATAAGAAGAGTCATGCTTTCTGCTGCAGATAATTATACAGGCTCCACAGCAGCAGCAGCAGCAGCAGCAGCAGCAGCAGCAGCAACAGCAGCCAGCTCAGCCACAGCCACAGCCACAGCCACAGCAAGCACTGACCACCAATGTGACTGGTCTGCCGCAGCAGCTTCTGCAGACGAGCGATGGCACAATCATCTACCAGCCGATACAGCAGGAGACTCCGGCAGCCGTCCAGCAGCAGCTACAGACGCAGACTGGAGGTTAGTCACTACGTACCAACATGCACATGCATGCACACACAGACACAAGCACAGACGGATGCACACACACCCACACCCACCCACCAACCCAACCACACACACGCCCACAACCACCCACCAACCCAACCACACACACCCACAACCAACCAACAACCCAACCACACACACGCCCACAACCAAATACCTCTTCTTTTTATGGAGGTATAGCTTTGAACGTCACACATGGTTCATAGCTTTTGACTAGGCTTGTGGCTTAGCTTTCCTCGCCTTCCGAAGTGTTGTTATGAAGTGTGAGGAATGGTCTCTTGTCTGTTCACAAGAATGCCCCCTGTTGGCTGTGGCGATAAGGGGTTTGAAAGTACGTGTAACCGTAACCGCCAACAGGGGGAATTCTTGTGAACAGACAAGAGACCATTCCTCACACTTCATAACAACAGTTCGGAAGGCGAGGAAAGCTAAGCCACAAGCCTAGTCAAAAGCTATGAACCATGTGTGACGTTCAAAGCTATATCTCCATAAAAAGAAGAGGTAAGGAAACTAAGTAAAGTTTGAGTGAGAGGTGGATGTCCAACGCTAATTTAGATGTAATTTTTATCGAGTTGCACGTAATATATCATCGGTAAAATTAGGCAAGCAAATGTTGAATTTCACGTATTTTGGACTGTCATACTCCTCCTATATTATCTTACTCCTGATTATATTGCATTGTGTTTATGTATTATTTACCTTTCAATGCTATATTGTGCATACTTCCACAAGAAACAATGACTACTTCAGCGAGTAGCACCTCTGATGGACAGTGTTGACATCTACTAGTGTTATTAGTAACAACTCCTCTTCCAAGTTGCCCATAATCAGCTCTTCCCCATGCAAACAATGACCCTTTATCTGAAAATAAGAAAAAACACATCGATTACTTACATGAGATATTATATAACTTCGAGACCAAAGTATCCACAATTTCTTGTATTCCAATACCTTTCTGAGGCATTTAAGGAACTTTAATTATTTGATGAAAAAAAATTCCACAAATTTCTCAGTATTTTCATTTCTCACCTGTTAGAGCCAAGCAGTGTTCCCAACCTGACTTCAATTCAATCAATCTCTCTCCATTAAAAGGGGATTGATCTAGAACCAGGGGCTTGTGGACCTTGGAGACCTCGCTGGGATCACGTGCAAGCTGACCCTTTGTGTTACTACCCCACATGATCACATTGCCTATATCTGGAAGATTTAAAAATTTGTATTATTCAGTAGAACAGTCATGTTATTACTGTAATTAATGTTATTATGTATATGTATTATGTTATTAATGTAACAGTTACGAGTAGAGTAGGATCTTAATAGAGTATGAATGTTATTAGACACCATTGTTTGCGACGAGATAGTAGAGGGCAGCACATTCCTTTCAGTGCGAGGTGATCGTGAGGATAGTATAACTTTAGGTATGATGAGGTTTTGAGGAAAGAATAACTGCGAGTATGAGACAGTATGGATAGCTTACCAGTGAGTACAGCTGAATGGTGTGATCCGGCTGTAATTGATACCACCGTTCCTATAGCCTCTGGCAATTCCACTACAAATACAAAACATGATGAATATGTTGTTAATAGAAAAATACATTCGCAGGAGCGTGGTAATAAAATAACACATATTTCTGAGTGTACAACAGACGTTAATTACTCCAATATTGCAGGAAAACCATTACTGAATCATAATACTACTTCCATCTCCTTATATCTGCATTTATCCTACCTCTGCATGGTTCAAACATTTTGTATTGTTTATGAGGGACATCATAGCCCAGCTGGGAATGCTTGCCTGAACCCCAAGAGTACACACCGCCATCATCTGTGGACAAAAAATAATATGTTAATGAAACTTAGCAGTAAAGGTCATTGTGAGCTTGCAGTGCATGCAATACCTCCCAAGTTCATACATTAATACATTCTCCATCTGTTAGAAGTAGGGAAAATATGAAACCATTATATAGAAAAACATATAAGCTTACCCATTAAAGTAAGGCTATGCCACATTCCTGCAGCAACATCACAGATTCTGTTTCCATCTGTAAAATACTAAAGTAATATCTAGCCAAAATCATTATAATCACAAATTGAATAAAAACATGTATTTTCATTCACTCCTGCTCTAAGCATGGTGTATTTTATTGTGTTGAACTAACCTAAAAATATAGATAAATAGCCCTATAATCATCATGTATTTCATTCTGTTCAGTTGACTACAGTTAAATATCATTATAATCATCATGTATTTAATTGTGTTGGGCCGACTCACAAGAACAGATCAGCTAAGTTAGCACTTTTAGTAGGATAAGCATTTTAGTTAATTAAATTAATTTTAAATTCTGTGCAAAATTGGAACTTGTTTATATAAGAAAAGTATATCTCTGCTTACGTCAACTCTCTGTGGTGAATCAATTCTAGTTGCAGTCAATTTCTGACCCAACTGTCCATGCAAGTTAGATCCGCAGGAATAAAGTTTTCCTCCTGCTATATAAGTATCAAATTCAGCCAATTGATGCCAACAGTTATACATTCATTTTCCCCTAATAATATCTGTAGCGGTTTCATGAGTGATCAAGGAAGGGAATAACCACTGATATCAATAGACGATGCACAGAGTTGTGTGTTAACTGGGAGCAGGGGTAGAAATTAACTTTTGAACAACGGACTCCCAACCCTCAAAAAGAGGGAGTCCGCAGCAAAATGAGGGAGTCTGCAGTCTGAGGTTTAAAATTAAAGATATTAACAATAACGCATGTGCTTATCATGCGGTTGCACGTCTGTCAAATTTTCTTTGGATATTAGCTAAAAAAAATACGGTATTTCCACTAGGCCGTGCTCTGGAACGAACTAGGAAGTATGGCAAAATTTTCAGGGAGTCACACGGACTCCTGCATGAATCAAATCAGGGAGTCCGACAGTAAATCTGTGAGTATTTGACTCCGGACTCCCGTTAATTTCGCACCCTGTGGGAGTCATCTTTATATGCCCTCTTGCACGCCAAAACCCCACAATGCTCTGCCGGATAACATAACAATATGTAAACGTCTGAGTAGACGTTGGAGATACCACAATATCTTTTATATTTTTCATGACAATTGTAGAATGCATTTTGAGAGTTTGCCATGCTATGACTTTTGATATAAGGGCCATTAAATCATAGGTTAAGTTTTTGGTATAGTACATACCACTAAGAGCAAGAGTGTGCTCCCAACCACATGCAACCTTAGTGATAGTTTCTCCTTCAAGTCCCTCCACCTTCTGAAACACTACGGAGTCCTTCGTGGAATGTCCTAGATTACAAAGCATTCCACTCATGTAAACACATCCTGATGCTGTAAAACAAAAGAGACAATTAAATATAGACGTTGTTGAAAATGCTCAATTTGCAACTGAATCTCTATTCTGAAATGTTCATTAATAATCTTTACCCTGAAAATATCATTTTAAATGATATAACAATGTCAAAAATTGTTCCTGAATATTTTACCAACCTGTAATTATAACTGTATAAGATCCTCCACCTGAGATACTTGTCACATCACCGGCTGCCAGACCCTCTGGTAATGCTATACGGGTAGGTGTTAATCGGTCATTTTTGTCCGAGAGTCCAAGCTGGCCATTACCATTTGCACCCTATCAAATGACATTCTGAATAAGTTTTCTGCTGTCAACAGACTGGTGTGTAACGTCAGAACATGGAATGGCAGAGACCTTCGCCTAGCCTAGGTTCGACCCCCTCATTTGTTCTTTAGAATTATTCTTTTATTTATACCCATGCTGCACAATGTCAATGACAGTATTATGTCAATGACAGTGTTTCAGTAAATCTTTAGATTAGGAATCCAATTAATGTATATAACACGCTTGAATTTCACCACTGACAACTGGTCTGTGGCCAATAGACCCCTTGCACGTGACGTCATCAAAACAAAGGCGGCCATGTTGGCATCATTGGTGCGACCGTGCGACGTGGTTACAGCGTGGAAAGTTCAGTTTAGAGAGATCTCCAACATTTTCACACGAAAATGGTGAATTATTGTAGGATAGCGGATGTACTAACCGATCTGATAGGGAAAAGGATAAGAAGTTCTTTCGACTACCTGCTGTTATAACTAATCAGGGAGAATATGAGAAGTGTATCACAGAGGAGAGTGGCGTTCACACCCAGACAGATGTTACTGGACCTCTGTATGACGCAACCTTATCTGAGCTACAGACTCTAAGAACGGAAAACATTGAGTTTAAGAGCCAGATGAGCACAGCCGAGCGTTTCACTGAGAATGATTTTGAGGGAAATGATGATAAAGTTAAATATTTCACAGGGCTACACCGACTTTTATTGACTGTACTTCATATATTCTTAATTGGAGCAGTTTTTGCCTAGCTGTTCTTCTCTGTCC